TGCATCTCGCATAAGCGATCTCGATACTACAAGATAGCTATGCTCCAGCCCAGGCTCAGTCTTGCATAAAACAACATTACAAACAGCAGTTACAGGCCGGTGGGGGTATTAACTCTGCTGATATTTAATGTGCATATAGAACTCATCAGTCTACTTCCTTGCTTTGGCCACAACTGGCTGTCTGATGTTGCGGCGGAGACCATCCACTTTCTTCCAGTTGGCACGCTGCAAAAATATTCTGCGCAAAGAGTCTTGAATTTCACTAACTACCCCGCTCTGGCTGGCTACTAGTAGCTACTATGCGACGGTTGTGTAGGTACAATCTTCCGCCAGCACGACTAGCTCATCTCACCAGCATCTTCCGCCAAAATTCCTGCTGCAATCTCCATAAATATCCCGACATCTCTACGAAAGCAACTCATTGTCCACAGCAAGCATCCCTCACATCCCTGCAAACATCTTTAACTTATTCACCACACGATCCCTCACCCCCAGCTGATCTACCATCTAAAACGCGACATATATCGCTCTTACTTGGAAGCTGCCCAAGCTTGATAATGATTGTCTTTGCACCAAGCCGCTCACTTACAAACTTATAGAGCCATCTAATAGTGCGGTTACATCACAACCTATTGAATGACAATTTTGTGAAGCAGATACAGTGTAAGAGCATCAAAGTATACGCAAGGCATCCTCGCAGTAATCCTTGCCTCCATCCGAAACGTCCGCTGTCGAGTCGAGTATACGAGATGTATGTCGAAGTGCCATGACTATCGTACCTCAGTTAATCCCCGTAGTATGACCTTAGCGCTTGTGGTTAAGGAGTATAGATGTTTATATTTTATATATGAGCCCGCGGATGTGTTTAAGGCATAAAGGAGTTAGATCGGCGTTAGGGTTCTAGAGCGTTAAAGGCTGGTATACAGGGAGGGTTCTGAGTGGTTAGGGTAGGAGTAGACCATACGGTTGCTGTAGTACAGAGTGCTGTTTGGTTACACCTCGTCTCACCTATCCGAATCGCCCTCCTCTCCGTGCGCGAGACCTATCCAACATGTCGCCACTCTCTTCCCGTCAACACCTTATGAGAACCCGCTTCCTCTTGGCTCTATCCTACACCTATAGTTAACACCTTCGTTTCGCCGTCATTGCGTAAATACACCAGGACACTGAGTATCGTGTTACGGCCGCACCGACAAACCGACCCCTGCAGCAGGAACGTAACCTCACTCTTGGGTCCATATGTCATATCCGAGTCAGCTGACCCCTGCCCATAGCCGCATGAGTAGACCACAGATTTCGCCACTGTAGTACACGCCATGACAGAACCCCTTGGCACCTATAGCCATATCTCACGCCCTACCCGCCCAGCATTACGCAGGCTTGTGGTTTCCCGTACGGCGCGCGGCAAGCCAAATCACGCATCCCCTCCCCACGCAGTGCGCCCAGACCCTCCCCCGCATCAGTCACCTTTCGCCCTCTAACATCCCCCCCTCCCTGACTCTAGCATCGAGCGCTAAGCAGCCCGTAACCGCGGTAATACCACACCCATAAGCTGCGCTGACACCTGTACCGGTACTCTAATTACGCCCCGCATCCACGCGCCGCGTATACATTGGAAGATTTATGTAACAGGAGCTAGACCTCCGTAACAATTCACGTCAGGGGGGGAATCCGCGCCGCGGCGCGCGAGGTGGAACCGGCATCAACCCGAACCCTGAAACCCCTCGCCGCACGCCGCTCAACACAAAGGCGCGAGTCTCCCGTCCTCCCCTACAAAACGATCATTCCCGCCCATACATTCCCATGAACTGCACCCGTCCGCCCCGCGTGCCCCCGCGGTACCGCGAGTAGCAAAACAAAACAAGATCGTCCACAATCTCGAACGCGGCGGCGCAACTGCGCGAGCCTCAAAGCCCGCCACAAATCGCATACCGCGTTTCATACCCCACACCGCCTCCCCGCATCCACCCTCCCCCGCACCCCGACCCCTCCCCCGCATACCACCCTCCTCCGCATTCCGCCCCTCCCGCCGCATCCACCACGTCCCTGCGCATTCTGCCGCCTTCCCGCTGCAGTCCACCCCTCCCCCGCACTCCACCTCCCCGCATCCGCCCCGCCCCGGCACACCACCACTCCGGCCGCACCCGCCCTCCCGTCCGCATGCCGCCACTCCACGCCGGCATGCCGCTCACTCCCCCCCATCCGCCCCTCCCCCGCACTCCAGCCCCGTCCACCGCACCTCCACCCCCCCGCATCTCCACCCGTCCCCGCGCACGCTCGAAGCCGCTCCCCTCGCATCCCACCCTCTCCCCCCCTGCATGCCGCGCCCCTCCCCGCCCCCCGCATTCCGCACCCTCCCCCGCATCCGCCCCTCTCCCCAGCATCCGCCCGCGTTCCCCCGCATCGCCCCTCCCCCGCATCCGCCCCTCCCTCCGGCATCGCCCCTCCCGTCGCACGACCCACCCTTCCCCGTAATCACGCCCTACCCCCGCATCCACCTGCTCTACCCAGCATCCGCCCCTCCCCCGCATCTAGCCCCTCCCCCGCATTCCGCCTGCACCCCGCATCCCACCCCTCCCCCGCATTCCACCCTCCCGACCGCACCACCCCTGCCGCGCACCTACACCGACGATCGCGTAATACGCGCAAACACACACCTGTAATTAGCAAACACACACCTGTAATTAGCGGTACGTGATCATCACAGCCGTAACATCGCGCGCCTCGGCACGGCCGCTGGTCACCCCAGCAGCCAGCCAGCTAGCCAGCCGAGCGCTGCCGACCCGTGCTGTGCTGAGAGCTGCAGCGACGACGGCGGCGGCGGCGGCGGCGGACACACGCGTACATGCAGCGAGGGGGCGGTGGCGCGTGCGTGATAGAACGCCGACCTCGAAACCGCGAACTACTGTTATTCTACTACTGCACATATACTGCAACTAATGCTAATAATATACAACTACTGCTAATATATACTACAACTGGTAATATATTACTGCTACTAATATACTATTAGGCCAAACAAAAAAATAGGTGTGTTTCCGGTCGACCGACTGTCCCTAGATTATTAGGGCCGACCCTAAACTTTTTCCCCCCCCCCAAAAAAAAATTTCCATTTGAAATCTGACAGACAAAACTTGAGATTTTTTACTACAAACACGTTCTGAACTTGCTTACTGACTTATCCCTACCTATACACCACTTTATAGCATGCATCAGACGGATATTAGGAACCGAAGAATAAAAAAAAATATTTAAAAAAATCCCTACCACCTACCCTACTTTTGTTTTCGATGCAATAGGAAACACACCTATTTTTTTGTTTGGCCTTATTACTAATATATTACTACTACCAATAGACTAATACTAGTAATACATTACTACTAACAACATATTAGTACTAGTAGTGTACTACTACTACGAGTACTAATACACCACTACTGTTAATATTCAACCTTAAAAATATACTACTACTACTAATAATATACTACTGCTAGTATTCTACTACTATTAATGTGCCACTACTAATAATATAGTAATAATATAAGATCCTGCTACTGCTGCTAGCGCATGCTGCCATAATCGTCCGCTTGGAGGCGCGCACGTACGGGAGGTGACCGACTGATCACGAGAAAATAAATAAATATATATGTGTTGGAACAAGCAAATAACTAAATAAATAAATAAATAAATACAGACATGAATAAATGAAGTAGAAGCAAATAAACACATCAACGAATAAATGAATATAGAGAGTTACGACCAATTATACTGGTCGATGGATGGAAACCACCACACAGGCGGGAGGCGGTGTATTAGCGAATATGATAGCATCGTTACATGCCCTTGCTAACACTACAAACACGCGCGCCTGCTGCCGTTGCATGCTTATGGACTCCATCCGCCCTCTCTCTCTACACGTTGCAACACACAGCGCATTACGTATCGCATAGCCACTTAGTCTCGCTCTCGCATAGCCGCGCGCTTATTCGAAAAAAAAAAAATAGATACGCGGTCGCCGAGCGAGTTTGCCGAAGGACCGGTGACGGCTCCGTCAACTGAAATCATCTCCCAATTATACGTGGCACGTGACGAGGTGAAGCCTGCCGCGTGTAGAGCGGAGGAGGAGAGACAGCTGTGGCACGTACCTGTCTATTACCCACGGCTGCTACTGCTAGTACTGCTACTGATGCTGTTGCTGCTGCTGATGTTGCTGCTGCTATTGCTGCTGCTACTGTTATTGCTGCTATTGCTGCTGCTACTGCAGTTACAGGGTGGGGGGTTGTACTGCTGCTGCTGCTGCTACTAGTGCTGCTGATGTTGCTGCTGATGCTACGACTGCTGCTGCTACTAATGCTACTACTACTACTTGTTGTGTAGGTGGTACATCCTTCCCGCAGCACTAGCTCCCTCACAGCATCTTCCGCCATTCCTGCTGCATCTCCTAAAGTATCCCCGAGCATCTCTAAAGCATCTTCCCATGTCCACGCAGCATCCCTCAGCATCCCTGCAACATCTTTACTTATCACCACAGGATCCCTCACCCCCTGAAGCGCCCCTGCAATTTTCTTTCCACTATCCCTACTGCACCCTATAAAGCATCAATTAGCATCCTCGCAGTATCCTTCCTCCATCCCCGCTGCATCGATGGCTCCACTCTCAGTTAATCCCTCCCCGGAGACTAATTATCCTGGAACACTCCCTCTCTCACCTATCCCAATCCCCTCCTCCTTTCGCAGACCTATCCCAACATTCGCCTCTCTTTCCCCAACACCTATCAGAACCTCCCCTCCTCCACCTTACATTCGTCCGCATCTATCACGAAACCGCCACCCTCACCTCCGCAACTAATACCCTTATACTCCTCCCCCCATCCACCCCTC